AGTATAACCAGGATAAGGGATATTCATATAATAAAGGGTCAATTCATCAAGAAGACATAACAGTCCTAAATTTTATGCACCATAAAGTGGTCCTGGAGGACTTGCAGATGATACTGGCACCATTGACTGGTGAGGAGCTGACCAAGTTCTATACTGATCAGTTGAAATAGAGAAAATAACAAAGATGATGGCACTATAAGCATTCAGAGAGAATTAAATTGATGGGGCCCTAGCATGTATTTTCCAAAAGGCACTTCTTAGGATAGCTCTGTGAAACTCAACCTGTGGGGAAGCCTATTTTATTGCATACAATTCTGTTGGAAAAATGATGCCAACAAAACCAATACTTGATTAATAATGAAAAATGTGTTTATAGATAAACTCCATGTGTGCTTAGAGTGAGCTGTGGTTGAATAACTTCCACACTTGGCAGAACACAGGGTGAGTTGACGTCAGTTACTCATCGATCTCACAGTTTTTTTATGCACTTGTAATTGCAGCTGCTCATCCTACACGTTTCTAGCTAACTTCCAGCCCAGCCTCATCATGTACCTAGTTGCTTTGGACAGTTGTTTAACCACTCGGAGCTTCTGTCTCTTCTCTTTTGTAAAATGAGGATAAGGATGGATGCTCCTCCCAAGACGAAGTGAGCACTGGGTGAAAGTAGATAGATGACAGTGTCTGCGTGCTTGAAAAACCCTTGCAAGAAGCAACTCTCATTTCTTTCTACTGCTGATTGTGAGGTTTCCAACAAATGCCACGCAGAAATATTTGCAAGAGGTGCATCTTGGAATGCACCTGTCTCCTATTTTATGTGCAGAGCTATTAGCGTTTTCTATTCCACGTCTGTTTCTTCGAGTCAGAAGGGAAAGAATTTACCAGAATATTTGCCAGGGAATGTGCTGTAGAGCCTTTGTGATTTGCTTATCCCCCAAGTTTATCATAATTCTTGTACTTCAGATATTGAACATCCTATTTTACTCAAAAGCTCTGCTTTGGTTTGTAGTCACCTACTTAAGTCTACTGACAGTTTGAAAGTCTGGCAAAGAACCCAAAAGTATTATTTTCTTCTGACAATATTTATTTAGTGCTGAAGCATACTTCATAGTGAGTTCATAAGTTCAAATAATTTATCATTTAAAGACAAAAGTACAAGGCAAGAAAAAAGATGGGAAGATGGATCACAAAGAGAAGAAACAGGAGGAGCTACATCTGTTTTAGGCAGTAGGAAGCTGTAGGTAATAGGACTGGATTTATGGATGAGCAATAGAGGAAATTAGTGTTATTAATAGATTAAAAATGCTTTATGCACAGTAGGAACTGTAGAATACATAAAAATAAATGATTGGTCTGTCTCCAGCATTTTATGTGGTTTATCTCCTCTAATGTACCCAACAGCCCTGGGTAGTAGGTAATGTTATCTTCAGTTTTACAGGTTAGGAAACAGGCTCACTGCTTTATATAACTCAACTCAAGGCCTTCAGCTGGCGTGTGGAGCTGGATCTGAACTCAAAGAAATAGCCATGGACTGTGTTATCTCCACAGATTGTTTCTGTGAATTTTGAAAAAATAAAATTAGTTGGAATTGGAACAAACCATTATCCAGCATCTACAGAAAGTAGTTCTTTTCTTGGGTAAACCTTTGAGGGAAAAGAACTAGCTTGGGATCGTAAAGAAATGATTTGGTAAGAAAAAGAATCAGTTGTATTGCAAATACAGAAAAGTATATATCTGTAGGGGACTGAAAGTCCTATAGACCGCTGGTTCTCAAACTCAAGCTTTTGCTCCAGTTGAAAATCTGCTTTTCTAACAAGCCCCAGGGATCCTGATGGTCTGGGCCCACACTTGGAGAGCAGCGCCATAGACAGTTTGAGAAAGGTGGAGACATGGCCAGTGTGTGTAAGAGGACAATGTGTGTAGCAGCAGTCAAGGTGCTGGGGAGAGGGTGGATTGTAAAGTCGGTTTTTAACCAGTGTGGCAAAGTCAAGCTTGGGTTTTTACAACTGTGCACAATAAAGCACCACGGCCAGGGGTAGTCTAGAAGAAGGAGGTGGTGAGGAAGGATGTAGACTACTTTTAATGGCTGTTTTCAGGCATTGCTAGCGTCTAGAGCAGGGCCTGGCCTAGAACAGGTGCTCAGTGCTTATTTGTTGCAGGAATGGACAAGTAGAAGGAGTTAACTCTCTATGTTAGCACTACACAGCAATTAATTCTTCTTAGGGTTTTTTGCATGAAAACATTTTAAAAAATTCACTTCTTGGTAAAGATAGTTTTTGGAAAACATTTTAGTATTTATCATTTACTAGAAGGAGGTAACAGGAAACTTCCTCCCTGCTCTTCTTCCTTTCCTCTGGCTTATTTCCTTAGAGGCCAGTTATCATTAATAGTTTCTTGTGTGGCCTTCCAGGATATTCCACGTGTGTGTGTGTGTGTGTGTGTGTGTGTGTGTGTACACGCACGTAAATTTTTTAAAACCCAAAAACAGTGTAACATACTACCCAAAGCAATCTGTAGATTCAACGCACTCTCCATTAAAATACCAATGGCATATTTCATAGACCTAGAATGCACTTTCCAAAAATTCATCTGGAATAAAAAAAGACCCCAAATAGCTGCAGCAATCCTGAGAAAGAAGAGCAAGTAGGTGGGGCTCTCAATAACAGATTTCAAGCTGTATTATAAAGCCCTGTTCTCAAAACAGCATGGTACTGGCACAAAAACAGACATATAGATCAATGGAATAGAGCCCAGAAATTGACCCAAGCCACTGTGCTCAATTAATATTCGACAAAAGAGGCATGAACATACAATGGTCAAGACAGTTGTCTTCAATAAATGGTGTTAGGAAAATTGGACAGATACATGCAAACAATGAAACTAGACCACCAGTTTACACCATACACAAAAATAAACTCAAAATGGATAAAGGACTTAAACATAAGATGGGAAATCATAAAAATACTAGAGGAATCCACAGGCAGCAAAATCTTAGACATATGCCAAAGCAATTTCTTCACTGATACTATTCCTAGGACAATGGAAACTAAAGAGAAAATAAACAAATGGGACTACATCAAAATAAAAAGCTTCTGCACAGCAAAAGAAACTATCAACAAAACAAAAAGCCCACTGCATAGGAGAACATATTTGCCAATGTTCTATCTGATAAGGGCCTAATCTCCAAAATTTATAGGGAACTCATACATCTTAACAAAAGGAAGATAACCCAATCAAAAATGGGCAACAGACCTAAATAGATAATTTTCAAAAGAAGATAGAAGGAAGGCCAAGAAGCATATGAAAACATGCTCAAAGTCAATCTAAGAGATGCAAATCAAAACGACAATGCAGTACCATCTCACACCTGTCAGAATAGCTATCATCAATAAATGACAAGTGCTGGTGAGGATGTGGAGAAAAAGGAACCCTCGTGCACTGCTGGTGAGAATGCAGGCTGGTCTAGCCACTGTGGAGAACAGTTTGGAGTTTCCTCAAAAAACTAAAAATGGAACTCCCATTTGACCCAGTGATCCCACTTCTAGGAATACATCCCAAGAAACTGGAAACACCAATTAGAAAGGATATATGCACCCCTATGTTCATAGCAGCACAATTCACCATAGCTAAGATTTGGAAACAGCCTAAGTGCCTGTCAGCAGATGAATGGATTAAAAAACTGTGGTACATCTACACAATGGAATACTATGCTGCAGTAAAAAAGGAGTTCTTACCATTTGCAGCAGCATGGATGGAACTGGAGAGCATTATGCTAAGTGAAATAAGCCAGTCAGAGAAAGATAAATTTATATCACATGATCTCACTCATTTATAGAATATAGTGAACAACATAAACTGATGAACAAAAACAGATCCAGAGACAGAAACATTGATCAGACCATCAAGAGAAGGTAGGGGGAGGGTTGGGGTAAGGAGGAGAGATCAACCAAAGGACTTGTATGCATGCATATAAACCTACCCAATGGACACAGACAACAGGGATGTGAGGGCATGAGTGGTGGTGGTAGTGGGGGGGAGGTAGAGGGTGTTGGGGGAAATACACATATGTAACACCTTAATCAATAAAGAAATTTTTTAAAAAAATAAAAAAATTTCTTTTAAAAAGTCTTTTTTAACTGGTCATTTTATTTCAATTCCAAAGTATGGAGGTAACATTATTTAAGTAGCTCTCTATTCATGGATATTTAAAACTTGTAATTTTTTGACATAATTAAAAGCATTACAGTGACTAGCCTATATACATTTGTAATTTCATAAATATCCAATCGCCTTCAAAGTATGTGAATTAGTTTACATTCCCACCAACAATTTGAGAGTGCATTTTCCTGAATTCTCAAGAACAAAATATTTTATGAAATTTTTTTTATCTTTGTCAATATGACTGATAAAAATGGTATTGTATTATAGTTTTTATGTATCTTTTTCTAATTGTGAGTGAATTTTGACATTTTTATTTTTGAGTCGGTTGTGTTTCTTTTTCTGTGAACAACATACTCATGTCCTTCACTCACTTTTCAGGTTTTTTTTTTCCTTAGTGAATCTTAGAAGCCCTTTATATGTAACCAGAGGCCCAGCGCACGAAATCCTGTACACGGGTAGGGCCCCTAGGCTTGGCTGGGGATCAGGGCTGATCAGGTTCCCTGCCTCCCTGCCTCCTCCTTCCCTGGCTCCCTTAGTGCCCTGCTGCTGCTGAGGGTTGCCTGCCATGTTCCGTGCCACCCCCTGGTGATCAGTGCATATCATAGCAAGCGATCGAACTCTTGGTCGAACTCCCGAGGGGACAATTTGCATATTAGTCTGTTATTATATAGCATAGAAATTGGCCCTTTGTTATATGTGATGCAAATATTTTATCATTTATTTATTTTTTTACATTAAACAATTGTTATTTTATAATTGTGCATATGAAGTAAATTTAAAATTTACTTCACATTGAATTAAATTTAAAGTTATCCACATTGTGTTTTTTTTTTACTCCATAGGATTTCTTAATATTTGGGATCTAAAGACTGGAAAGTATCCTATCCACCGCTTTGAGCACGATGCAAGAATCCAGGCACTAGCCCTCAGCCAGGAAGATGCCACTGTTGCCACGGCTTCTGCTTTCGATGTTGTGATGTTGCATCCCAACGAGGAAGGATATTGGCAAATAGCTGCAGAATTTGAAGTTCAGAAACTGGTGAGCGTTTAGTCTGGTCATTTTGTTTTTCATTCTTAGAACCTCTGAATCTAATATAAACAAATAGTAATGGTGTTGGCAGCTCCCATTCACTCAGGACTCCCTGTGGGCCTCACATCCGTAAATCTCACCACTGCCTTGTGAAACAGGTACAGTCATTTTCCCTGTTTACCAAGAAGCCAAGAGGAACTTAGAGCAGTGGCTGGACCTGCCCCAGCCTCAGAGCAGGAGGTGTCATTCAGACCCAGGGCTCACTGCAGGGCTGCGTTTCCATTGCTGTGGGCCTCATCCGCTTTCACAGGACATCCACCCCTCGAAATCTAAGGCCTTGTACAGAAGTGAAAATGAGTTCAGTGACATTATCCCATCCCTATGGCAAGGAGAATTCCATCCTCCACTTTCTTCACCCCAAGTTTTTTTCACCTGGAAGTAAAAGTGCTCCTATGTGAAAATAGGTATAAGTCGGTGTCATGTTCCAGGATGTCATGTGTGAAGCTGAGCCAGCCTTAAAGAGTTCTTAAAAAGTGGAGTTTGCTTCTGAGTTCAGTTGTAGCAGGTGATTTGTTTAAGTTTAAGTCTGTGCTGAATTTGGGTTTAATTTCAATAAACCTGATTTTGGCACTAATAGGAGAGTGAACAGAAGAGCCAGCATTGAAGAATAAGTTGAGGGCCTGACCTGGAACAAATCCTGTTCCTCCCCCTTTCCTCCTGATGGGAATTTATTAGATTGAATAACTAAAAAGCAGAGTGTTACTGCCTCGCCTCCACAAGCTGCTTGTCCCTCCAATGCTCCAGCCTCAGCGATTTGGGTTTAATGTTCCCCAAAACTGCCCGAGACTGTTTTCCCATCTTGGGTTTTATTAGAAAAATGTGAAAGTGCCATATTTGTTTTCACAACTACCATCGTGCTTATTATCTGGTCTTTGACTAAAGAACACAGTAGAATAGCAATAATTATATGAACTCAGACAATTACTTAAGATGTGAGTCCCTCTATAAAATGTAAATCCTGCCTTGGCAATCGGTGGCATCCTGGCACAGACTGGATGCTTTTTGAAGTAGTTTTACAGCTCCCAGCAGTGGCACAGCCACTGCCAATCAGAGCGTCTTGGTCTGTCCAAAACCCAACATTAAGATGAAATGAAATGGCTGGGCTGAGGATGTCAGTCTCAGGAAAGTAAGGAGTGGTTTGTAGACCGGAGAGAGGGGGCAAGCTGGAGGCTTGTGCTGTAAAACTCCGTGTATTATTTCTGCCCGCGGGAGGGTGGCCACGGCTGCCCGTCACTGGCAGCCACCCCTGGCCTGGAGCGCCGGGTCCTTTTGTCTTCCCCAGATAGGCTCCCCGAGTCGCAGTGGCAGCGCTCCCGTGTTTGCGATGTTAGCCTAGAACTTCATCCTTTGTCCTAGGGGCCGAGGATTAGCAGAGCCGCCCAGATGTTCGCTCTCTGTCTCCAGCTCCCCTGGACAGCCCTCAGCCTTCACGCTTTGGGCTCGGTTATCTTGTTTTCAGGGCAGTACTGTCCTTTTACACCGTGGATTTTCATAATTGGATGGCTTGGCTCACCTGCTGTCGCGCTCTCAGAAGTTGCTCAGGGAGGTGAGAACCTGCGGTAAACGACGCTGGGAGGTGTGCACTCAGGGCTCTAGAGAAGCACATCATTCTCCAAGGGACGTCCCATACACGTGGAGAGAGAGGAGGGCATGGCGCAAAAATGCTGTGGCCGGGGCCTTCCTGCTCCCGATGGCATTGAAACCTGGAGAGCGCGGGTAACTCACATCCTTTTAATCTTTTAGCAACGCATTTTGGTATTTGCACCGATGTTAAAATGTGATTTTTGTTCATTTGAAACTGAGTGAATTTTATTCAGTTTCTGGTTTAAAGACACTTTTGAATAACTATTACACCTGCCTGGGTTCAGAATTTAAAAGACCCAATAAAGTTTACAGTGAGTAACACCATTTGCACCCCATCCCTCAACTCTTGCCTCTTTGAAAGGAGCCATGATTAGAAGATTCATGCACGTACAAGCCAAGTACATCACACCCTTCCTCTGCCCACATGCACACACGTTAGCACACTGGGAATCCCGTTACCTTGCTTCCTTGCTCTCTGCCCAAATTCACCTTAGAGATGATCCCATGAGTATCAGTTCATGAAGACTGTCTTCATGCTTTTTGCCCAAGACTGTGTGGTATTTCAGCGCCAAAATGGACTGTCATTTATTTGTAGTCCGTTATTAATGCGTGTTTAGCATTTTCCAGTTTTTAGTGATGAAAAAGTAAAGCTTTAGCCAGTAACCTGCACACATGGTTTTACATAAATGCGAGTTTATTTGTAAGGAAAGTCCTGGAAGGAACTTGCCGGGTCAGAGCGTAAGTGCACTTGACATTGTGGAAAGTGCCCCCGATTTCCCTCTCTAGACATTGGACCCGATTACATCCTACCAGCCAGAGTGGGGCCCACCGTGTGGTTGTCCCCTTCACTTGCAGGCCAGTGTCTCAGCAGACGATGTGACCTTTCCTGGTATGACAGATGGAAATGGTACCTCTGAGAATTTTCACTTTATAGTCTCTATTTAGGAGTGTGCTGTGTTTCTTTCATGATACGCATCTTTTCATTTGCATGAGAACGGTGTGTCATTTCCTGTTAACCGCCCCTCTGCCTGTCGTCTTCTGTGGGGTTGCTGGTCTTCTCCTTGACATGGAGGAGGAACTGTGGACTTTTTGACCAAGTCAGGATGAACTGTATGTGGAACCTGCAGGACTAAACAACCTTTATCCTTTCCAGGTTGACTACCTTGAAATAGTTCCAGACACTGAAAGGTACCCCGTGGCAGTGGCTGCTGCTGGGGATCTGGTGTACCTGCTGAAGGCTGACGACTCTGCCAGAACCCTGCACCACGTCTTCGGGCAGCCCATCACCTGTCTGGACGTCTCGGCCAGCCAGGCTGCTTTTGGAGTGAAGAGTGTAGGATGGGTGCACGAAGGAAACAAGGTACACAATAGAACATTGGGTTTTTTTTGTTTTTTTTTTAAATATATTTTATTGATTTTGTATAGAGAGGAAGGGAGAGAGATAGAGAGTTAGAAACATCGATGAAAGAGAGTCATCGATCAGCTGCCTCTTGCACACCCCCTACTGGGGATATGCCCGCAACCAAGGTACATGCCCTTGACCGGAATCGAACCCGGGACCCTTCAGTCCCCAAGCCGATGCTCTATCCATTGAGCCAAACCGGTCCCGGCCAGTTTTTGTTTTTTAGAAGGCAACTTAAATTTAAAGCTCCAAGATGTAGTCGGGAAATATGTACTTAGCATGGTAAAAATAAATAAATAAATAAATAAATAAATCAAGCATTTGAAAAGGATATGAGGTGAAAACAATAGTTTCTTTTTTCCTCCTTTTCCCCAACCCTACTCCACAGACAAAACTGGCAATAATTTCTAATAGATACCCACCTAGAAAATAGGTACATTTATACACTGAAAAACATACCTTTATAGAAAAAAGGTTGCAGCAAAATTTATATTTTTGCCAACAGTGCATAAAAGTACCTCTGATACTCTGTGAGCCAGAAGCAAGGAGAAAAGTTTTTAATTGAAATTCTTTGCATGATTACTAAATGTAATCACTACCTAGCGTTTTACTATCCTGACTGTAGGCCAAGTACTTAGTCTGAAAAGTCTTAAAGCTGATTTATGGAAGTCTCTTCTCCTCCAGTGGGATCAGGGGAGAGGGGGATCAAGTTTTATTTTGTTTCCCCTTTAATGTGCCTGCTCTCCACCCCCCAGCAGTGGTGTGATCCCAGGAAGAATGTTTGCGCATTGGCTCCTCTGGCAGCTGCTCCTCCTGAGGACCGAGGCCTTCTCCGTGGCCTATTGCGGCCTGCTGCCCCGCTGCCCGTGTGGCCTGAAGCATGTTGCTTAACTCTCTGTATGCCTCAGTTTCCTCATTTGTTTTTAAATATATTTTTATTGATTTTAGAAAGGCAGGGAGAGGGAGAGAGTGATAGAAACATCAATGATTGAGAGAGAATCATTGATCCACTGCCTCCTGCACGCCCCCTCCTGGGATTGAGCCCACAACCCAGGCATGTGCCCCTGACCAGAATTGAACCTGGGACCCTTCAGTCTACAGGCCAACGCTCTTATCCACTGAGCCAAACCAGTTAGGGCTCAGCTTCCTTACTTGTAAAAGGGGGGTTGTAGCAATAGCAACACCATAGAATTGTCAGCTAAATGAAAACAGGTCTGTAAAACTTTAAGCATCATGCTTGGCGTGTGACAGTTAATCATCACCGTGTGCCTCCTGGTATTTCTACCAGTTGTAGTTCAATGCTGGCTTCAGTTTGTGATTTATTTATTTATTTATTTATTTACATAGTTTCCCCTAATGTGTAAGTCACCTGCAAGGTCAGGTCTCATTTATCAGGTGTGCACTGATTTTGCAACTTAGTAGGTACTCAAAGATTTGAAGCATCCTGGATTCTAATTATGTTCTTCATCCAGTAAGATAGATAAGGCTTGTGGCTTCCTGCAGCCTCACTGGGAGAAGGCCTCCCTTTGTGCTTGAGGAGTGCATATGTCAGCGTATGTGGGCTGACAGGTCTGCGATGCTCCACCTCCTGTGTTTTGTCTTCTTAGGAAGTGGGGGAGGGGACGGCAATTGCTTTCTGAAGGCGGTTTCCTTTTTTGGGGCTTTAAAAAAACTTTCTTTTCCGATCCCCAGTGAGCTCATTTGTTGAGAGAAGAAAGACTACATATTTGCTTTCTAATTTTTCATCCATTATGCTTTCAAGTTTGGGTTATCTCATTTATTTCTCAAGTCTCAGTGCAGCGAGGGGATAGATATATGTAATACTAGCCTGGTTAAAATTTTCCATATTTTCCATAAATTTTTCATCTGGCCGATCCTATTTCTCTTTGACTTATCTAATTAGATTTATTTCTATACAGTCTTACATTTTGATATAATCATAGTGGTTATATTTGAGAAATCAGTTAAAGTGAGAGTCCAGCACAAAATCGTACTGGGAGCATCCTTTAGATATCCATGGTACAGAGGCACTTTTGTGATTGCCTCTGAAAATTTCCAACCCAATTAAAAGCATTGATTATAAGAATCTGCTTATTAATACCTTAATTTTATGGAAATTTATTTTAAAATGTGTTCTCTCAAATAACTTGCTACTGGTATTTTCATTGCTATTTTAAAATTAAAAGTGGAAGTAAATTTGCTACAGAAATTTGTTGAAGCATCCTTTGAAATCTGACAGTAGCAGTTAGATACCCAAATATTTTGTGTATGCAAGAGCAAGCCTCCAAACACTGTGGGTGGCTGGCGGTTGTTGTTAGTAATGACTTTGTGTTGAGATGTTTCTCCAACATGAATGCCACCCACTCGATCGTGAGGGAGGCCAAGCTTTTGTCTATGAAACTCCCCTTGTTTTTGCAGAGGCAGGACTCTCCATCGGATGGAGTTTAATGGGTTTTCTGCTTCCTCAGAAGAACCTGCATTTTTAAGAAACGTAACTGTCATGTAATATCTCTGCTTGCGCTGAGCCATGTCATCCTGCTGCTATCCTAGGCTGTAATGTCGTAATTCCCAGGTAGCTTCATGTGTGTGCTCAGTGCTGCTCTGCCTGTGAATGCCGTTTTGGCTGTGTCTGTGCTTGGCCTGGCAGCGTGTGTCCCAGCACATTCTATTAGGCTGGTGTCAGACTATTAGCAGTAGAGTTCGCCTGGAGCTACGTCCACATGGGGCTCTGTGTTTTGCGCCTCTGGCCTGTGTAACTCGGAATCAGATGAAGGCTTTATGAGAACATAGAGTTTGGCTTATCTTCGTTTGTACCTGATACAGAGCCGGGGCTTAGCTGGAGTCCATTATTGATTAACTGTGATAAAAACAGACAGCGTAGTCCAAATGTTGATATAAAATACATTTGAGTCTGGAACTGAAATCTCTCTGACCTGTAGAAGTACTCCAGAGGTATTATTTTTGTTTAACTGGAGGATATCCTTGCCCCGTACGATGATCACATTAGCATTTTATAGGCACCACAGCTGTCAGAGCATCAAATAATAATGGTTCACGTCCATCCACTCAGAGATCCAGCTAGCCAGTCATCTTGTGTGCATTCAGCACAGAGAGCCACGGAGCACCAGTTGTGTTCCTGGCACTGGAGTGTGAAACAGCCTCATGCACAGATTTCAGCAAACTGGTACTTGTCAAGTAACCCAACTCTGTCAACAAACAGTTTTCTAAGGAAATGGGACCGAGTAATGTAGCAAAATGTGCCCATTTAACCTTGAGAAAAGGCCTGGGAATACAGCTGGTCTGATCCTTTCCAGCTCCATGTGTTCTGGGACCAGAGAGAGTGCGTGCTCTGTACGTCTCCATTGGCTCATGGCGTAGAACTTCCCAGACTTTTGAATTTAGAGGCCAGGACTAGGGACCCCGCTTGGAATTGCCAGCATTTTCTTTGCCCAAGTAAAGTCGTAGGAAAAAACGGCCATTGTCTATTTTCACCTTTTGTTAAAAGATCAGATCTTTAAACATTTTTTTTTTTTTTTAAGAGTAATTTAAAACGAGGTAATGCATTCACCTGATTCAGAAATCAACGGATCTGACAAGGAAGAATGTGCAGTGGATGGCCCCTCCCCACTCTTTTCAGCCTGCCTCCCTGTTTCTGTCTTTTCCTGGAGCCAAGTCAGTGCTGCTGGTTTCATGCACATCCTTCCAGAGATATTTTATGCTCATGTAAGCAAATTACCCAGCCATACCCTCAGTCTCCTCTGTTTTAAAAATATAAATGGTAAAATACTGTATTGTTATTCTGCACCTTGCCTTTTCCTGCGACAAAACTTCTTAAGATCATTTCATCCCGGTGTTTGGATATTGTTTTTTGGTTTAGTTTTGCTTTGCTTTGCTTTTTGCAATTTTATGGTACCACACCTGCGGACGGACCTTGGTGAGTTTGGCTAGCCCCCTCTAGATGTTTGCTAAATTGCTCCCTGTCTTTTGCTGCTGAACACACTGGCCCACTGAATGTGTTTGTAGGTGAGTTCCTCAGAGTGGACTTGCTGAGTGGAAGGGTCTGCGCCTGTATGATTTGATGGCTGTGGCCTCTCTAGCGGCATCCCGGGAAAGGGGCAGGTGGCAGTACATCCATGTCCCTGGCAGTTCCTGTACTTCTCTTCTCTCACAGGCTTCACAGGAAGCTCACAGCACAGTGAGGCCAGAGGACTAGACAGAGATCTGTCTGCTCCTACTCTTCAGGAAATGATTTGCAGCTCTGCTGCTTAGGATGAGTAGCTGTTGGTTTCGGATCACATGGCTTTCCCTAGAACCAGTGCAGTGGGACTGGCAGCCCTCTCAGGCCACCGTTAGGTTGGGAAGAGCTGCAACACGTACTGATATGTGTTCCTTCTCGGCTTAGTTGGTACCATTTGAGGGAGGGTCCGTGGTTCTTCTAAGGTGGTAAGCCAACTGGCCTCTTTTACGTAAAATGAAGAGCGGTGGGCATGGGACCTCTGGCTTCCGTCCAGCATCCGTGTTCCTTGAATTCCGAATGAAGTGATGAGGTGGTAGACACTGCCCACTCTGCCTGTGGAGTTGTGTTGAGCTTCCCCACTGGGACTGCTGGGTGGCTGAATGCTTCTGAAATGCCTGAGGAATCCATTACTCGACTCCTCTCTAAGGAGACCGCCCCACGGGCCATGTTTATTGCTGATAGAAAGGCAGGAATTTGGAACTTGTTTATCACTTCGTATGTCCTGCTGGCTAGGGGTATGTGGTGAGAAGGCCTCCTCACAGGTCTTTTGCTTTCAAATGCTACTTTGCAATGGCCTGCTTCCTCCCGCTGCTGTGCAGGAATCCGTGTCAACTCCGCCCTGGCCCTCTGTGCCCAAGCACCCCTTTATGATGTGCTTCTATGTCTCACATTTCCTGACTCTGTCAGAAATCTTCCCACCAATGAAAACATGTGTATGATA